AATGAATTATAAGGAGCAGGTATGAAGGAGGATTGACAGGCGATCCTTGTGAAATTAAAGAAGCTGCCCACTGATCATCGTTCTCCGGCATTGTGTTCCCAGCCTGCTCCCCCGATGTTTTTTGCCTCTACACAAAGCGTGGTATCGTTTCGATTTTTCACCGTAAATTCGTTCCACCATCGTTCCGACGATAATTTCCACGATCGTTCAAATTTCGGGCCCACCTTCATCGAAATATTCGCGAGATTTTCAGTCCGACGATTTGTTTTACACTTTTGTGATACTCAAAATGCAATTCGATCTTGCTTTTCTCTCTAGAAATCCACCTTCCAGCCTATCGAACACCCTGACCACCTATTCCTCGTTGAACGAGCAACCATACAGAGGCAGGGATCCCGGAGTTTGCGTCGAAAGGGTCGAGCAGCAGGAGAAAAAGGAATTTAATGAATTATAAAGGCTCTCTAGCCGGGTTACGAAGCGAGGAGGTCGAGGCGAGGGGAGGTTGGCAGTCGATCCAGCCGGAATTAAAACGGTTGGCTGTTGTCGGCACTGCGGTGCCGAACCGTCCTGGGGGTTTTCTTGCGCCCCGAAACCGGAGGAGGGTCCAAGAAAGAGTTCGAAAAGGGCAGAAAGAAAAAGAGCGTCGAGACGAAGGAGACGAGCCTGAAGAGAAGAGAAGAGAAGAAGAAGAAGAAGAAGAAGGGAAAGAGGTTGGGGGGGCGATGGTACTAGGGGACTTGATGAGAACGGCTGGTGGGGGAGGGTTTCCGAAACAGCTCGCCGCTATCTCGACTGATCCGATCAAGATTAATGAACGTGCGGCTTGCGAGTCGAAGCCTTTGCGCCGCCCAGGCTGCCTCTCCGTCTCTCTTCCTCGCGCCATCGCCGCGTGACGTTCTCTTCGTCGCTCCGATTCTTTTTCTCGGCCCGCTGATCCACGCAGGGGCACCGACTAGCGACAGGTACCGTCGACGAGTTCTGGTAATAACGCGGTTCGCGGTGGCTGACACGGCCGCGAGCCGCGGATTCGGGTTGGCATCGTTGGTTCAATTTCTGGACGCGCGACGACGAGAAGACGGGCCAATTTTCTGAGCATCACGAAATTCGAGAGGACACAGAAAATCTGATTTCTTTGGGAAAGCGATCTGATTAAGAACAGACCATCGATTAGGGTTAATCCATCCGGAATATGGTTCCCGTATCCGCGAGTGATCACATCGTAGGAAATGCGTTAACGATCGGAACGACAATATGTTCGGTGGATCGAGTACCGAGATCGATACTCGTACGAGAAAACTTATAGGTCGACGGTATTGGGATTGGCAGCGAAGATAAAACTCGCGGTAGCAGTAGCTGCGATGACGGTAGCGATGCTTCTCTTTTTTGGTATACATACATACGTGGTCTGTCTGCTCCGTGGAGATAGATGTGTCACCGAGACCGGGGACCAGATAAAAATACACGGTCTCCCTCGTCTCTCGATGGTTTTAATTAATTCCGAGGATCGACGCGACCGCCCGTGTTAACTTTCCGCCTCGGTCGTTGCGTCAACCGCGCGTGTCCACCATCGCTACTGTGCGACTCGTTTAAGCCCCCTAAAAATCCTCTGGTCACCTTCCGTTCGCTTTGCCTTTTACTGCCACAGCTGCTATTTTTATTAGAAGCTCCAATCGTTTCTTACAATTTCGGACTTCGAATGTCACGCGACGATACGTGCAGTCTTTCAGCAAGAGATGATTCACTGTTTGCAAACACGCATGATGCCTTCTTCACGCTTATGGAAACTCGGAATGTTTCCTACTCGACTTGTTCGCCTTTTCGCAAGATCGTCTGAGTCGACTATCCGTTTCAAACCACTGGCATCACCATGTTCTATTATAATATTCGAGACACGCGTTCGCTTCTCGCCGCGAAAACGATCCGAGACTCCCGTGGTTCCGATTAGCATCGAGGCCCGCGGTGGCGAGGTGTCTGCGGGCACGAATCTAATTTCACCCGGTGCTAACTTCCCCCGTTCTTTCGACGCGACGCGAGGCTCCTGTTATCTTTAGTTACAGCCTAGCGTGTGTTTGAGACGCGAAACTGCCTCTGGGGGATGTCAGTCAGTCGACGAAGCGAACTGCAAAGTGACGCGATGAACGCGGGGCGAACAAGGGGTGGAGCGCGCGCTGGAGGGATGCTTTGTAATTACGGGGCCTGATAAATGGAGTCGTCGACTCGCTAATCCCCTCCAATTACCCGTAATGGGGATCGCGGGCCTCGAATCCGCATCGTTCTCTCTGCTCTCGAGTTTTCAAAACTATCCGCGCTTCGTATCATTATTCAATTAGAATCGTGGAAGGATCGTGCGTGTGGGAAATTTTCAATAATAAGAGAACACGCTGGGTGACAAATATTTATCGTAGCCGGCGTACAATTTTTCTGAAGCTCGCGACTGTACGATTATATTATCTGAACAGGAAGCGCGCATCGCAACTGTGTTGCACCCGAGTGCAATCTTATTGCGACTCATCATAAATCTTCCGATCCCCTCAAAAACTCCAGGAAGTCTTATCCGATGCATCAATAATTCAGTATTACTAATTCATTCATCACTATCGGTATCGCTAATTCATTCGTCAAATACATTCCGCAAATTAAAATCGAGCCACAGCCAGGAACATAGCAATTACGAACGCGCGTAAAAATTTCGGTTCCTCGCACGATAAATCGTTACTCATTAACATTTGAAACACGAGAAACCTTCTTCAAATTCGTTTGTCAGCTCGTTATAAATGTTCAGAAAAAAATCCTACCGTGAACTTCGACCAACATTTTTCAATCCGAAACGTGCGATAAGTAGAATCAATCGATCGTCGTCCGGGCAAGTACATCCTTGGCGAACCTGAAACCGCAATCGGCTTAAGTAGTGCAACGCGGGACACGTTTCCCTCGGGAATCATTTATTATCGGTGGGGATCGCGTTGCGCAACCGAGAGGTGTACGTGGTCGGAAACCCGTTAAACCTTCGCTATAAACCGGGGGGGTTGATGGTAGGAGGTGCGAATTTCACGTTGTTCGTCCCCTCGCGAAGAGTTTGCCAAACGAGCGATTCACTGACCACCCACTGCACCGTAGGTACAGCTTGTAGATCGCGCCCGATTGCCGAGCCGGATGGCCAGGCGAAATCATCGGACCATTTGTCTTTGGCGCCGACGAATGTGGAACGCGGTGCTCGCCGCGCGTGGGTGGAACACCGTCGAATGAAAACAGGGTCACCAATGATAACACGGATAACGTGACCCGGAAGGTATTTCGCGTACGTCGAAACACGTTGGATCAAACTGCGAGACCTGAAGAGTTCGTGGGAAAACGTTGATTCTCCACATCGAATTCTATGATAGATTCTTATTTCTTTCGATTCGATTATACTCGATGCCACTGACTACTGGCGTCAGTCTGTTTACCTCATTCCTTGTTTAACATAATCTATATTTAGGAGAGAGAGAGAGAGAGAGAGAGAGAGAGAGAGAGAGAGTTGCAAGGGTGTTCAACACCGGAAGACAACGGCGGTGTCCGTGGATAGAGGAACAGCGCATAGATCTTGCAATTAACCGCTCTTGCGTGCTTCCTTCCTACAGACCCGTCGAGAATCCTGCTTGTAATCTTGTCCCTTGCCGGTCCCTACTGCTTTTTTACCTCGGACCATCAGAATTTCGGTAGACCGACTGGGAATTGATCTTAATAGCTGTGAAGGCGAAAAGAGCATTCGTGATTGCTATAATATTCGTTTTTACATCATAAACGAAACATAGTACGGTACTTTTTATGTATGGCAAAGGAATACGAAGACTCCCACGTTCTCTCCCTGTCACGTTTTCAATTATCAAAATGACTCTCAATGTTATCGCAGTAATCACGATAATATGCTCGATGTACATCGTGTTCATTCGAAAAATACGAAAAGGGGAAAGGTTGGTACGAGACGGGACTTCGATCCTAGGTAGTATCGGGTTATCTTTCGGTCGGGCTGCTGCCGGTTGCATGGGTCATGGGCGGGCCGTGCAGGCGGCGGCTCCTCATTCGCTTTCCGGGTGCCACCCTTCTTTTTGAGGCTGCTGCTGCGGCATATCCCCAGGCTATCCGGGCACAAGCTGCGGCAATCACGCACGTGCTAGCGCAGGCGCAAACACGGCAATGTGGCACGCATCGACACCCACACACGCGCGTGGGAGAGAAAGGTACAGCGCGCCGTTTGAGAACCACTTTTCCGTGGAACGAACGATGCCTCTTTGACGCTCGCTAAATGCTCGTAACGTTGTTTCGTAATCGTAACGACAATTGAAACACGCCTTTCAATATCTAGGAGAGATATTCGAATGTTCTAATTGTGATTACCTGCAAGGACGTGAGACAAATCGCTTATAGACACGACTTGGACGATGCGACAGTCTGCATGTTGTCTTCGCTTGCCAGTAATCGGTGTGTCGACTCCGTTTCGATGGGAAAACGATTTATCACGCGTACCGTAACCGGTAAATACATGCGAGTCAGTCTTTACACGCGTATTACGAACAGAGATACTGTCAACAGTGTCAACCGACGTGGCGGCGAGCTCACCTCGAACTCCAACTGGGCTATCGTTTTTTTTTTTCTGCGTATCGCGCGAAAAAACCGATAAAAATTCGCCCCGGATAATGAATCTATAATAACCGAAATGTTCATTTTTCACGGCGGCGATAAAAGCGGACAAACGGGACACGACGCGAGCATGGAAAATGAACAACGAAACGCGACAAGGGTTCGTTACAAAACCAGCTAGATTACGAGCGGCGAGTCGTCGCACGAATGAAACCTGTGGTTCATTAAAGAAAAATACCAGCTAGATTACACGGTGGATAAGTCACGAGGCTGTAGAATTAATAAAATTAATGTTAAAGAAAGAAACTCGTCGACGGATTACATGCGACGACGTGAAGTGGTTGGAACAGGGATACTGCTTCTCTCGAGGAAACACGCTGTTATTGTAAATTACGAAACATTTATTTATTGATTCAATTTTTACTTCGCTTCGTGTATTTATATTTTGATCGATTTCTACGATCAATAGAAACGCAAGCATCGGGTGCATGCCCGAACACGTTCTTATCGTACAGGCTATATACAATTATCGATAGGAATAGTGAAATACAATTGTCACACTTAGTAGAACACGTTTCAATCATCTGGCTAAATTACAATTACGCTAGGACCGCCGTTCCCCCGTTCTCGTTTCCAAGGGTTAGAACGGAGTCGCGTTAACGCGTTCCCTTCTTAACATCACTACGCTTCTATCGTTAAATCGGCTTATAACATCGTTTTGGTATAGCGTCACAGCGACTCTGTGCATTTATTTAAAAATCGTTTGATTGCTACTCCTTTGAACTCTTCGCCAGTTCCCACCTGGACGTCGCTCGCCTATTACGTAGTTTCATTTAGCGTGCCTATCCTCGTTATTGGTCGATCTGTATACTTTCTCAGATAAAAATAGATATCTCGACTGCGTTATGTGTGTATGTACAACGTAAGTGCGAGCGAGCCTGAACGCGATTTCCTGCGAAATTAAAGTAGTCGCGGCTCGCTTCGGTGCATGGCGTACGGCGGTGCGCCTCGTCTGACCAACGCGGGAAGTTTCCACTTCGCCGAGACAACGAGCCTTAATACGCTGGGCAAAGAACTCGCGTGAAACGAACGACGATTAGATGAACGAACCGAGCTATTTATATTTCTGTTGAAAGGCTATTTTATTTTTTGACACAGAAAACATAAAAGAAAATTGTCGTCCAACGTTCTTTGTATTAAATTCTCCGATTCTATTATCTATGTCGAAAATTGAACTATCGGTCATCCTTTCGTTTCTTCGGAGCGAATCTTTTGTAAGACGCGAAAATTCCGCTCGGCATCGGCTCTTAATGCTTTCCACGAGTATGAAACGAGTACTTAACACTTAGAGACTGCACACTTATTGCAATAACATATGAAATACGATGCACTTTATAATCGCATAGCGATTAGACTTTCTTTACACGACTATGTACACAGCGCGCGTTTCACCTATGTATTTTATGTACAGTTTCACGTAGGTTATCGATTATTACCCTTCCTATGGTTCGACGAGTTCCAAGATTTTACAAATTCCGAAGAATCTATAGTCAGAATTAACGTCAAAGATAATTAAATTCGTCGAAGGACTCGTCTCGTGGACCTAAAAAGAGGAAACTAAGATTTGTGACGTACCGAATGCAGTCTTTCGTCGCGAATCACCACCGTCCCTCGACAAGCTGTCTTTTCACGTACCACTGGCAATTCGTTTGGTTTCTTTCCGCACTCTTTCGAAAACTACACGGAATCTATCATCGTTCTGTCCAAATTCCAACCCCAACTTCTAACTCAGTGACACTCAGGAGGCGTCGCTCGGTCCTCGACTGCCCTGTCACCATACTTCACGGTTCCAAAAGTTTGGACGAGACTTCAAACGTTGATCACCGTCTTCTCGGCTGACGAGCGTGCCGACAAAGTTAAATCTGACGATCGGTGCACACCAACGAGCTCAGAGACGGGTAACCGACACCTATCAGAGCGTCCATTTGTTTCACCGAAGAGATGCATCGTTCGGGCGATGATGACTCAGCCATCTTCGCGAAGGAAGGCCGCGGAATTGCAGGGAATCTCATCCTTGGCATTCAGGTCACTGTTTCGATCTGGGACGATGGGCGATCGAGTCGGAAAAATTGAACACCGGCAACGGTACCGTGAGACCACGGTAGAATTCACGATCGAGAATAGAGAGAGCCCTTGCTTCCGGTTTTTCGCCCGACGCATCATCCATCAAACAATGATTCGCAGCGAGAAGGATCAAAGGGTGACGTGGCTTCCTGTTTAATTCCCAACCCCTATGCATTCCATTAATGGGGGTCTCGTTCTCCATTCTTCAGGGTCTAACAACCATGAAAATGTCATTTATACTCCGGGCGTCGGTTTTCACTTCTGACGGCATCGATCGAGATTTCGTTATAAATTCGGTAGAAGGACTCGCGTTCCGATCATCCTAGTTCACCGCACAAGTTCTGAGTACAACTTCGGTCGGCGAACGAACTTTTGGCCAACGACACCGAGACTTCATCGACTGCGTGCTTCGATCGCGACAGGAACGGTTTAACGAGAATAAACTTTGACTACCAAACGGCAACGAATTCCTGGCCAATGAGATTGAAACACCGACTCGTAGAATTGTTATCGGGTTCCCCGTACGGATGTTACAGGGCCGTCAATCCGTAATCGGATTTGATTGCCGGCGGTGGTATGGGTGCGGTAACCTGCGACAATCCCGACGGACTCGTGGCGGGGGCTAGAGGGCTGATACTTCCGGTGGCGATGTGCCCCAACGGGCCACCGGCCGGACCCTCCATCATCCCGGTTACATGATGATGACTCAGCTGCGCCTGGAGATGGGCCAGGGGATGCGGGTGACCCTGGAAGCTCGGGTGGACCACGTTCGCGTGAGGAAGAGTCGAATGGACGTCCGACATGTCTGTCATAGAGACGCTCGGCTCGAGACCGGCGTCCATCCCGCTCGACGGTGAATTATTGTTGTTCTTCCTCTGGCTGTTATTGTTTCCAGTGGTCAACTTCGACCTGCTCGACGACGTCTTCGCAGGTTTCGACGGCGGCGGCGCAGCTTGTCCGTTCACGTTCTTCCGTCTTACGTTCTTCGTGTTGGGCAGCTTGTTGTCCTTCTTCCACTTCATCCGACGGTTTTGGAACCAGATTTTTATCTGCCGCTCAGAGAGAACCAACGTGTGAGCGATCTCGATCCGTCGCCGTCGCGTCAGGTACCTGTTGTAATGGAACTCCTTCTCCAGCTCGAGGATCTGATGCCTCGTGTACGCGGTCCTCTGACGCTTCGGCTCCATCCCCGGCTGATAAGAGCCATTCGCTGCAATAACCAAACAGAGATCGGGCCGCGTTAGTCGACTTCCTTCTGGGGACCAGACAACGGGATTTTCGTTAAACGTTTTAAATCGAGAGGCTACGAGCGCTCGTAAATTCGACGCCCGATTCCGACGGAACACGGGGCTTCAACGGCAATGTGACTGGCAACGTGATTCGTTCGATATTCATCGTATAATTACCGAGAGAGATTCTGTAGTTCGTAGGAGAGGTAAAGGACGACGCGTTCAATATTCAACCAACATTTTATGGATCGAGAATTTCGTATTCTCGTCGGCAGACGTCATCCTCGATGGCGCCGCGGCGGGATTATTTGCGATTCACCGACGGAATACTTGGGAAACAGATACGCTTCGCATGCATATGTATCCACGCGCGCGCTTCTGATTGACTTTTCCGATTATCGGACGTTGCAAAGTTTTAGCAAATATCAAAGTATACACGTAATTGTTTCGACCTTCTCTATCGGCGCGAAATGACACGGCACAAATGCTCGAACGCTTACCCAAGCAATCGCTGCGTGTCAATATTATCGCGTAATTATTCGCTTAATATGCGCGGATTGATCTTTTCCAAGTATCTGAAGTCTGCAAAGAAATAAAACGCGGCTCGTACCACTTTTTCCTTCGTACAAGCGTGCCCGTGTACTTCGTACATTTTATCCACGCGAAGAGATATCGATTGATCAAAGGGTTTAACGATACAGATCTCGTAAAGTTTCGACAACTACTATTATCGTTTCCAATGTAAAAGAAACGCAGTTACGCCAGAATTTCTGTCAGCCCTTCGAGTACCGCCTATCTGATCGTATTAAAAAATGATTGACCCGGCGAACGGAAAGTGTAAAATGTACCGGGCAATTAATAACGAACATCCGTGCGTACGATACTCGTAGTCGTATTATCTGTGCGTTAAATTGGTTGCAGCTTTGCCGGATGACAGGCGCCATTATTTTAAGGCTAAGGCCTATTGTCGATATCCTCGCGTACAACTGCGAGCGAGCGGCACACGACTCTGGCCTGTCGGGAACGTATGATCGCCGATCGTGCAGTGGATAAAAGAACCGTGACACGTGCAATGAACACCGAACGACGCGACGGAGAAAACGCACCGGACAACCCAACCGGCCTCCACCGTTTCGCAATCGGCCACAGGCGAATGTTCCAAGGACGGGTCTGCTCGATGCTCGGCCAAGTAGCCGAGCTCGTCGAACTTCAGCCAAGATTATGAACAACCGTCTTTCGGCGAGCGAGGATTGGAAGAAGCCGCCCGGTGTGCGATAATAATTGCAAAACTATACATGTATGAGCTTTCTCAAAAATGGAAAATTGTGATTGCAATCGATTCGCAGTTCGAAAGAGATTGAAATTGAAAAATAAAGCATCACGACTTCCTTCGAGTAATTCTCCTGAACATTTCTCTACTCTAATCGACCACTCTATCCAGCACATACTTTTCCCTCGACTGCCTACCGTCAACCCTGCTATCGCGCATACTTCCACCGTTTCTGTATTCAAACCTTTAACGAGAGGCTCGGTATCGGAATTGACCATCGTGGCATCATCGGTTCGGGTCGCGAGGAAGGTGACTGTAGACGAGAGCAAGACTCGTGGATCGATATCACGAAAGCGAGACGTCAATCCTCGCGTTCGCATGCTAGAAACGGTTTGTTGGTGGTCCTCGCGTAGCAGCGAGCGAGACGATAGAAGGAAGCCCGTTCGGGCAAGCGAGAGTTCAGTTTAGAATCTGTGCAGACACATTCCATTCCGAGGCTGACCGACGCGTCTGGTCCTCGGGAAGACCCCTCCTAACATAGCCGGACACGTTTCGAGGGGAGAGATTGCAGTGCATCTCCTCTCCGACGGACGCGCATACCGGACTCAGCTGGTACCGGACCTCGAGCAATAAGCGGGATTGAAACGTGCGTAGCTCGCGAACTATGAAGGACAGCGTGTCAAAAATAGTTCTCGATCCTCGCCAGACTCTCGCATCGATTCTTTCGGTAGACACTTTTTTTTTTAAGAATAAACGTGAAAAGCGATAACACAAACGAAAATGGTATTTCGGTTATATCGTGGAAAAATCCCTCTCACCAACGATATTTTTTGTTACCTGGAAACATGAGTTATGATATTCGAGTTCGTTTTAGAGCTTGAAAAGCGAGGAAATAGTTGCAAGCTAGAATGAACAGCATTATCGCCCGTGTCGAAAAAGCGGAATAGAAATTTGAGGCTGCAAAGGCAGCGAGCGAGAGAGAGCCAAATTCTCCGGGATATTACGTTGCAAAAATTGCCCTTTGAGGATTCGTAATCCTTCTGCGAAACGCTGCCAGCCGCCGCGCCGCGTTTAACTCACGCTATTCTTATCGTTTTCAATGAACAGTATACTAAATATACACCGAGAGTTTATAATACCGTGGCAATTGTGAAATTCTTTGGCATTTGTATCGAGCAGATATCGATCTCGCTGACAGCTCTACATGCACGCGAAAGATGTAGAAAATTCTCCTCCTGAATATTCTTATTTCAGAGTTGGAAGAATCCACATAAGCTTTTCTACGATGCACTTGTCTATATAGGGTCTAATTTTGTAAAAAGCAAGTGGAACGCTTGAAAAACGCGCCAACATCAAAGGGTCTTTGATCTCGCCAATAAGATAAATTTCAGTCGATTCGTCCTATTCCCTAATCGCGTTTAGAGGCGACTCTAAAGTTCGTCATATCTCAGCCTGTCGTGGGGTAAGAGCCGAATAATAGCGACACTAGGCGTAACAGAATATACGTACTATGGGTCCGAAACTTCTAAAATCTCTTGCAGGTGCGATTGGAAGGTGCAACGATAAATTGCGGCTCATCAGTCTTCCCGTAAACGCACCACCCTGCAGCCACGGTATATTTACCTTCACAGATTATACTCAATGATCCACTCCATCTTTTATCGTGCACTTTGCGATACGTTGTAAACGTGTGCCGACCGATAATTGTAAGTTTTTGTTGCAGCGCTACTGTACGGTTTAATAGTAACGCTGTAAAATTAAAATTGAAACGTGGAAGCTAAATAGTAGTGTAGGCGCGCCACAGTGTTCCGTCGGATCGAACCAGTATCACAAACAGAAGGAATAATCTTTCTTTCTCTTTCAATTACCACAGTGCCTCTATCACTATTGAATCTGTAATTTATTAGACCTCCTCGATCTCGAAACAATATTAAGAATCGTATTCCAACAACCAAGCTGCCATTCAGATTGAATTATAGTTAGTGATGGGCGTTCGAATCCGAACTTCGAAGCGAATTGAAGATTTTCAAGAGTTCTGAAGATTCGAATCATTTCGGATATCTTTCGAAGCTGAGAATTCTTGAACGTTTTGCAAGTTTTTATAGTTTTGACAGTCTTGATCGTCTTGGTAGCTTTAACAAGTTAACAACAACGGTACTATAAAATTTAGTCAATGAAGTTTATAATGTAAAAGCATTTCCGATATTTCAAACTTTAGAAATATCTAATAATAAATATAATAAATATATTTCGTATCAATGATATCTTCAACAAAAATAAAGAATAGCTTTTCGAATATCAAATGCTTATCTCAGTTGTATAATTTTCAAACCAATCGATATATTGAAAACATTCAGAACTTCCAAGGTGATCAAGACAATAAATAGGTTTAAGATTTATCAAGACCTTCTAAGCTTCTAATCAGATTCGAAATGAATGTATTGTCGCATGACGGATTCGAACTGATTCCAATTGTTTCGAATCCCATCACTCCTTCCAACAACCCTGTCGTCACCGACGCTAAGGAATCATTGACTCACCGACGCCAGCAACGTGAATCTTCTTCATCCACGGATAGATCACCCGATCCCCGTTTTCTTCATCCTCCTCTTCCTCCTCCATCATGCCTGGCGAACCGTCCATCATCTGATCGTCCTCCATATCGTCCTGATCGCTACCATCGTCCACGTGATGCTGCTGTTGACTCTGCTGCTGCGTCTGTTGCTGCTGCGAATTTTGTATATGCTGTTGTTGCTGCTGCTGCCCGGAAGACGGTTGCTGTTGAAGATCCGGCGAATTGTCGCGATGCAGGTGACCGGAACTGGCCGGGCTGCAGGCTGTGTTGTCGTGCGGCGGCTGACTCGGCTGCTGATGATGCTGAAGCGCGTCCGGCTGCACGTGATTCTGCATAATGCCCGGTGACAGCGGCGTGGCGCCAAGGACGGTGGACGCGGACACAGGTGGTTGCTGTTGCTGTTGTTGCGGTTGCTGTTGCTGCGTCTGCATCGTCGCGGGACACGCGAGGGGTGGTTGCTGAGCTTCCGGCGGCATCGCCAGCGCGCCGACCGCGTGATGGTGCGGATGGAGGCTCGCATGGTGAACTGCGTGCACTTGGTGATGAGGGTGATGCGGACCGTAGTATCCTCCGTAGCCGGCGTATCCACCGTTCAACTGTACCGCCGAGGAAGCGCCGTAAGGAGTCGACGCCGCCTGGTGATGGTGCTGATGATAGCCGTACTGCAATTGATGGGATTGAGGATGATTCAAGTGGTGACCGCTGCCGCTGCCGGGAAAGAAATCTGTTCCCGTCGACGGGATGTAGTTGCTCTGGCTGTACTCTTCGCTGGGGGGAAATTTCGGGTCTACCATCACCGACGTCGCCGCCAGATGATGACTGTTCGCTGCTTGCTGGTGCTGGTGATGATGATATCCACCGGCGGCGGATGGATTCATCAGGAACGAGCTCATCTTGACGGGATTCACACCACCGATTACAATTCTCCGGTCTGTAATTACGCGTCGGTTATCGTATCGATCTCGTTCAGGGTAGATACGTCGTACTCATTGCGCTACCAATTTCCGATTTGCACCACCAATTCGAATTTTTCAGTCTGATCGAAGTACGGCACTTTACTTTTTCAACTCCGGAGTCAGTTTATAGCGTCTCGAGGTTCCATGTCGACGATATTCATTCTCGGATACGTAGAACACACCTCACTGCACCGTGGCCGACATCCTTCGGTACCGACGATCGGGGGGTGAGTTTTTCCACCCGAGAAAGGCCGGGGGAGCGGTGTAACCGCGGCGTCGGGATGCCGCAAGAGAGAAGGCGGTTAAAAAAGGAAAAGGGCGACTCGCGCGAAGGGGGGAAACGAGAAAAGAGCACCGGGGAGACCGCGAAGAGAGAGCGGCGGCGAGTCTCTCTCGGTGGACGGACAGCTGCTTGTCCTCTCCTCTCTTTCCGCCACCTTTTGCGATTCTCCGCGAAGCACCGCGCGGCCTCGTTCGCTCCTTCCCGCCCACCGGAGACCAATTACCATACCATGTGACCGCGGCGCGGACCAATCAGAACGGTCCCGGGACCGCGACCATGATGGATGGCGATGGTACGCATGCAACACGTGAGTGGCGCCGCGAGAACCACTGGCGGCAGGTGCATAAACTTATTTCTCGAGACTCGCGAGCGACGGCCGCCGAATCCTCTGTTCACCCTCGTTTCCTGTTCAATTTATTTATTTTTTATCTTCGTCTAACACTCGCGTTTCTTAAAAACGGCAAGTAAATTGTATCGGTCGCTAGGAAGCGCCCCAGTTCGATACCAGTAATGGTACCGATTCCTTTATGTTTTTATCGATGCCCGTAGCTGGTACCAATTCGTTATTCCTCGTATCGAACACTACGCGGTTACAGAGTATCGATTACGATCTTCGCAAATCTTCAATGACGTCACAGATACGTTGGTTTCCAGTAATCGCTCGTTGCCCATTTCGTTGGAAATATGAATCACCAGAAATCCAGCAAAGGTCCAAGTGAATTGTCCTGGAACCGTCGAGTCCGTTGACGAATAAAAATCACCAAAAATTCATCCGATACTTATAGCAAGAAGCGTCTCGAATACGGAGCAGTCCGAGACGATGGTTCGTCAACTGTCAACTCGTTGACTCGTCGATTAAAATCACCGGAAACTCTGGTGTCGAATCCCATTCACTTCACACCGACTCGGTCGAACAAAACGACGATCGGGAACTCGGAGAGTAACGAAAGGCAAGAACGTCGAGCACCGAAGCCAAGCTGTCAGAGAGCCATGAAAGTGAGCTCGTCCTGCCTCGGCAGAAACTCGTCTGGCAACTCCAGCGGCGCCTTCGTTTCCCAACTCCCTTCCCGGCACCGAACCGTTGCCCGACCGGGGCGAAGCCCCCTCTCACCGAGGTTCTCATTCTCCTCTCCTCTCCTCTCGAGCCCCACTCTGCGCCGGTAGCACGAGACCAACCCCTGCCCATGGATCCACTGTGCCCTTATGGGGCCATGCAGGGTATACGTAGAACCGTGTAGTCACTCCTACGGATCTCCTTAACCCGCCTCCATCCCGAGATCCATCTTACGCCGAACTTCGTGTTCGAAAACGATGAAACCACGCCGTTATTGAGACGGTATCGCGGTTATCGAGGGGTTAAACGGCGCGGGATGCTAATTGGGGGTTGTCACTGGGGTGACTTGGCTTTTATTGCGCGGGCAGATTCTCTAGATCGTCCGGCAAAGGTTCATATTCTCTGTGAATGAAAAGCAATAAAATTATTTTCCAACTTCATATTTATCACGTCTCTTGTCTGAAGACCTGAATTTTATTTAACATTTTGCCGAGTAATTTAAAATAAATATTCCATACAAATTATAGCTTAGAACAACTTTACTTAAATCTCAATTATGGTAAATTATACGGTCTATATCGGAACGATCAATTAGGCCAGATAAGACCGGCAATTAAGTAGTAAAGTCGAGCATTGGGCAGACCGCGTCAATCCGTATCTTATCAGTTGCGAGCATAGCTTCCAAAACCAGTTTGCGATTATTCTAATGATATTCCACGTGGACAGGCTTATCCATCGATGAACCATTCACGGTTTATCATCGGACACCATGATTATCATAACGCCGGGATCGTTGCGCAACGCTCGGCGACCAAATTGAAAGTAATGGTCGTACGCGTTCTTTTACCCGCGCGCATACGTATTTATATTAGTGCTCCACAAGTGTCTCGCTGCACTCGGTCAAGTACGTCTACTACTCGCGCGGCGATCAGCTGCTTCGCGGAGCGAAGCGTTGCAAAGCGCCGAGTCATTACACAAAGAAGCACACTCACTCTGTTTTGCCGCGACAACCGACAGACGACTTCCCTCGACGAACCGCGCTTTAATCATTCGTATCTTCCGTTTATTACACGAGATGAGAGTGCTACTCGATGGACAACAACGTGTTTTTTTTTATCGATATCGTTTTACGAGACACAGTGAACTTTGAATTGAATTCGTCGTTTCTTAAAGGAAATTATCGAATAGATCGAAGAACGTGTTAAAGTGCGGATCTATGAACGTGAGATGATCGTCATCCAGTGATATACGACCCGGACAAGAAATTAACCCCGAGGTACTTTAGACTAATATCGTCGCACTGTTCTAAGAGCGACAATAAAGCTATTTCGGAGCAATATTTCCCATCAACGGGCGCCAGCCGAGAAGAGAACAGGAAGAAGGAGCGGCGATTCGACTCTCCCGGCTGAGGGATATCACGTCACCTGTTTTTCCCCGGGTTTTGCGCTTCCTTCGAGCCGAGAAGGAAGTTTTTCGCTCGGGACGAGACACGACGCGCCGCGAACTTATTTCTATTTTTCTTACGAGCCCACCACTTCATGCCGAGAAGAGAACGAGAGGAACGAACTCGCGTCGAGTGGAATCAGCGAGGAACGAGGAGGGTGGCTGAAGGGTGGCGTCTTGCGGGTGACGTAGAAACGAGCGAAAAGAGGGTCGGTCGCGGGGACGTTGTCTCCTCGTTTTGCGGCTCGATCCCTCCGTCTCCGTCCGCTGACGTTCCTCGCTCAGCTTCCGTCCTTTTATCTCATCCCTCGCCCTGCTCCGGCGACAGCGTCTTCTGGCGACGTTTCTTCTTTCTCTATCTTTCCATCCCCCGGTTTCCGTACGAATCCTCGCTTCGCTCCTCTTCTCTGTCCTTCCGGCGAAACACGATCAATCACTTTTCCCAGCGAGCCGGCGTGACACCCTTCTTTTACACCCACAACCACCCCCGCCACCCCCCGTAGTTCGTCAGCGACTATTCCCTCTCGTTCTACCTCGCTCCCCTTTTTTCTCCCTTCGCCCCGGCGCGATCTCCCCGATGACGATTATCGCGAGATCACCCACGAGAGCTTCAAGAGAATCGTCATGTGCGCTGTTCTGAGGGATCAACGAGAAACACTCCCTCTCCAACCGTACTTCCTGATTACGATATTAGCGTCTTACCTTTGGGTCTCATTGACGACTAAGCGTTCCAACAGAATGCGCAGCAAAATCAGCGTTGCATATTCATTCGAGTTTTCTTCATCCACGGTCTAGAATATAATTCATTCGTAGTTAAATGAAAACACGGGTTAAACGATAAAATAGATGACAGCAAGAAATTGATTACTTTACGGCCGATACGATAATCACTGTACAAGCGTTTCAGTGCACTTTAATATATAAAATCATTTATAAGTATCGTTCTGTACTAGGAGGATATTCCAAGAATGTCGCAGTTGCCAATTAATAGAAAGTTACTTATAAGAATCTAAATTTTTCTCTCAGGGAGAAAGTAATTCTGATACACGACGCGAGAATCTCTTCTCACGCATCCAACGTCATTCTGTTTACTCTAATAGTTTTGTGAGATCAAAACTCATTCACTGGATATGAAAACATTTTTCTATAAAAAAGTAAAAATCTCCGACTGAAACTCGTTCGACAGAAATTCCTTTCGTTTGGTTAGAATCGCGAATTCGCGTCGCGAGCGAATCGAGTGTCCCTCGTGATAATGATAAATAGGAACAGAGTATCGTTTACGATTTAATATCAACTCAGGCACGGCCGACTGCTTATTATCGGCCATTAGGAAAGTTTTAATAACGCGATACCGCTACCGCCACCCTAAAGGGTGGAAACGTCGCGATTTATCACTTTCATCGCTTTATTACCAACCTGCTACGTTTTACTTGTTGATCGCCCCCCCTTCTCTTCTGTAACAGCAAATTCATCAAGTTTCAATTAGCAAGTTTTCATTTTTTGACAATTTTCGAGTTGTACCAAACCGAATTTTTAATTGAACCTATCGAACGAAAACTGTTATTGGATATTTTCAATGATACGCGTTTCTCGATTTCTCTCTTTTTGCGTTAATTAAGATTGTAATTAATTGAGCAAACCGAGTTGCTGTCAAAACGTTCACGGTTGCGTTCGGTCGACAATCACCACCTGCTCATCTACATCTGCTTATACATTCAGCGGCGCTAGTAATTTACAACTTCTAGGTATTTGCAACGCGATGTTGTATCATTTATAACAGTGTGTAATTACGCCGGGCTTGGAATCATTCGTAAACGAGAAAACGTGAGTTCGCTACTTCATGAATCTTGCAGAGCCTTCCGTTCTCTAGTTTATCATTTAGACTTTTAGCCTCTTTTCATGCCGCGAACAGTGCTTCTTTTACATTTCATTGTCGCTACAATGCGACTGCGACTTCCTCGTTGCGCTTTCGCTCCGAGGCTTCCAGGAGATCAGAGTACGGACGCTGTTGAAACCTGATCATGATCGAACAAGGTTAAAAGCATTCTTTAAACATCCATCGGGGACCGATCGATCCTAGAAATTTACAGAATATTCCAAATATTTGCGATGAGATTCGACATGGCGCGGCGTTCGAGAATTCACGGGCGTCTCCGAAAACCCTCGGCTATTTTAGCATGTATCCCGTGCGGAGGTGTTGGCAGAGGTATCCGTCCTCTGGCGAAAAGCACGGATCCCCGGAGATTCTATTTCGCTGCTGAGTCACGATCCCGCGTTCGTCGATGTGAAAAGGGGAACCTCGTCCTCATGGGGACACCCTCGAACCCATGGGCCATAGGATATTGGCAAGAATCGCTTTCGTTCTTTGATCTTCTGTGCCTCCGAACGTGAATCTTCGAAACACGTTCCTCTTCATTTCATGTATTAAATAGTGGCGAATTATACATGTTTTTAGTCTTTTATATCATTGTAAATATATTAACTGTTATTCGAACATTTCCAGAGATATATTTATTCGATGTAGATATCATTCGAACTCGTTCGTGCAAATTAAGCGTGGTAAGGGGATGGACGACATCCTTTTCTTATCGAACGTAGCTCGGCGAACGAAAAAGGAACCGCCCGAACCTCCCCCAAAAAGCGTTGATTGAGAGTCTTTCACCGACTGACAAGTGACGAGTGCGCGAAGTCTCGTTGATAAAAAGGCTGCAATCAACCAGATTCAAGGGTCTACGACGGAAACATATGTTTCCATCGAGAAGTGACGACGGGTCAACGAGGCTGAACGAAACTAGAGATATCGCAACGAGTGAAAGTACGACCGTCCGTCGGAGAACGAAAGAAAATCGTCGATAATTATGCGTACCGTGGACGATGGTAACGACGTTAAAGCGACCCGACGACCCGCGGGCAATTACCACCTGACATCGGTGCTCGAAAGCAATTTCCGTGCAGCCTCTTCCGGCGACGCGACGCGACGACGAGGCACGAAGAGGGACCGCGGTCTCACTCCCGAAGAAAAAAAAAGCACCGCGTTTATAGCGTAGCTTACGTCGACAGTCGGCCTGCCTCGGACGAGGAAGAATGGCCGAGTGAGTCGTAAAAGTGATTCATCACCTTTCGCGGCTCCGCGGAGTCGTTAGCGACGAGATCCTCTTCTTCTCTTCTCTTTCCTTCGCGACATCCTCCGTGCGACAAATCCAGAAGCTCGCCGACTCGGTCTCTCCGGCGAGGATTCGAGCGAACGGAAAAATGTTAAGAGGAAATTATTCGAATATTTCGTATATCGTATCGCTTAAAATCCCGACGTCTCTCGAATTAGCAATTTCCTCGCAGCGAAGGAATCTCCGGGCACGTTCGAGCGACAGCAGGGAAACCCTTTTCAAAGGGAGAGAGAACGGCTCGCAGGGTGGGAGAAGGATCGACAGCAATTACCGCTGGAAGCATCGCGGAAAGAAGGAAGTAACTGGGTTAAGGACGACCAGTGATCCGTGACCTTCGCAATAATTACCATTCTGCCCTTACCCATTCGGACCATTCGAGAAACGGTTTGCATACAAACGAAACGGTGGTCCATTGTCCGGTAAACGGGGCCCGACGTAACGCGACCCAAAAACGTTTTCGGGACTAATTGCTTTCGGACGACCCGTTTGCCTTTCCTTCTTCCTTCCGTCCATCTTCAAACTTCACCCAGATGTTTCCAGCATCTTTTTGTAATACAGTACGAGGTGGAACAAGGATTTTGTTACAACATATATAGAGAACAATAACAAAAAGGAACGTCTGCGAACTGTGAAATAGTATTTTGGAAAAAAGAGTTGTTACACTTTGCGAAATTAGTTCCAGGCGGTAGGAGAAAACGAG